AATGTTAGCTACAAAAACATTCCTTCCAACACCCTAACTTTATTTTCACCCAAAATGTGTTATTTGAATTTTTATTTCTAATATTTTAAGAACATAAATGTCCAGTTTTCTTGCCGTGATTAGAATTATTAAAAAAAAAAAAAATAGTATTTAAAGGTTTCTTAGAGCATTCATATCATAGGCCAATAAATAACATCATGCTGATCTCATAACGTTTTCTGCCAACGTTATGAGCTACGTAAATCAAATGTTAATAAAGTTGCAAGAACGTTCCATAAACATTACTCTCAGAAAGTTTTGTCCCAACTTTTATAAAACTTTTAAAAAACGTGAAAGCTGTGAGAACGTATGTAGCTGGGAAGAAATGAAAAGCAACCTTTTAGAGTATGTAAACATGGGATAACGGGGCCGCATGATGACGTGACGTATGGAACGATATATAGCCTATATATATTTTTTATAAGGTTCTTTGAAACTAACTGTTCGAAAGAATCGATTCGCGGAAATGAGTCGGAGTTCTCACCACTAGATTCACCTCGATTCAACTCACTCTTATGCTCTTGACTCAAATGCTACAGAAAGAAAAGTTGTCGTCGGCACGGAGTCCAGAAGTCAAGTGAAAAAGAGATTTTCAAGAATAATAATTCACTTTAAATTCATTAGGCCTATTAGCTCGCGAATTGTTAAAATATGCTCGCGAAATATCAAAACGTGCTTGCGGTTTAATAAATCACTATCAAAATCGTAAAAATAATCAGCAGCTTTTATTTGGTAATTCCAGACATAAAAACTCAGCTGGGCTTTGATCTCAGAACACGAAACAGCACAAAACGCGGTATATAAGAGCAATGCCGTGCTCGTGGACGTGGTCAAAACCGTGTTTTGGTGTTAAAGTTTGATGTTACGCCTGCCACAGTGGCTCTTCTCGTTTCCCGCATTGTAACCGGCATTTGTAACTGAGCGCTTATTCAAACTAGCGTTAGTAGCCTAGATCAAGCCTACGACTTCAAGCCCAAAGAGTGTTTCACAACGATCTGTACAAAAATGAACGCGATTTACCTTAACATTTGCACCTGCTGCCGTATTAATAATCCATAAGTGTAAGACAAAGTAGTGTAGTACAATATGTCCGAATCTTGCAGTCCAGAGACAGTACATGGTTCATTTGAGAACAAGGAGACCTCGCCCCCCTGATCTTAACCAAAGACTAAAGAGAGAGAGGGGCTCGCACTTTGAGGTCTAACGGTGAACGAAACCCTTGATGCATTAATGGCTTTACAACCTGCTGGAAGAAAAGAAAAGGGGGCTGGTCAGACCCACTGTGATTGACCTTGTAGATTTCAAAGAAGGCTACAGCATCCATCTCCTTGTGGATCCAGAAAGAGAAGTTTGCCTACATTAGTAATGTAAACGGTCTGAGTGAACTAATAATTACAGGACAATGTTAAACAAAAGCCTTCGGAATCACCTGGCATTTGCTAACAGTCTTATCACCTGATCACAGCCTGTCAGTTTCATGTTATTGCCATATTTTTCATAAAACATCCAATTAATGAGTTACAAACATAAAGAAATGCAAAGACAGTGTTTTTAGGGGTTAAATCTTAGGATTTTAAGGGGTTATTGGTCCATTTGCATGTTTCTTCCTGTGCATATAAAAAAATGATAAATGAATGCTGTCAGCTGCAATGAGAAATATTTGGGTCTAAACACCAATTTGATGCAAATTTACATTTAAATCACATAATGTCTGTTGTTGTTTTTTTAACAGCCAGAACACCAGAACATTCTGGTTAAAAGCTCAGTGCAACTATAACAGACACAAAGATTAAGAGGAAAACAAAATGCTCATTATTGCACCTTGGACGTGGTACAATCACATAAATGAACACTTTAGATAATGAATCTGTTTTCTTCTCATGCCACAATAAATGTAGGTTTCTGACAACAAAAGCATGTTCAGACACCCCACCAAAGAGCCTGTGTCACACCACTGATTTCCCTGACTGTGCATTCCACTATTCTGTTGCTATTACTTCCAATATAAATGAGTATTACATTTGTTAAATAAAACATCAAAGCAATCCACTCAGTAGCATAATAAGTTGCAGTCAAAGTAAAAACACAAAAATAAAAATTTGCTTTAAAATGTACTCCCCCTCAGGCCTCATCCAAGATGTAGATGCGTTTGTTTTTTCATCGGAACAGATTTGGAGAAATTTAGCGTTACTTGCTCACCAGTGGATCCTCTGCAGTGAATGGGTGCCGTCAGAATGAGAGTCCAAACAGCTGATAAAAACATCACAATAACCCACACGACTCCAGTCCATCAGTTAACATTTTGTGAAGGAAAAGCTGCATGTTCATAATAAACAAATCAATTAGCACTTTTTTAACTTCAAAATGCATCCTCTATCCATAATATTGCTTTCTCCAGTGAAAAAGTTGTTTCATCTGAATCAGGAGAAAAATCTGCACAGATCAAGCACTGTTTAAAATTAAAATGCCTTAATGATGGATTTGTTTCTTACAGAGTCGGACTCGTACTTGTGAATTATTGTGATGTTTTAATCAGCTGTTTGGACTCTCACTCTGACGGCACCCATTCACTGCAGAGGATCTATTGGAAAACAAGTGATGTAATGCTACATTTCTCCAAATCTGTTCTGATGAAGAAACAAACTCATCTACATTTTGGATGGCCTGATAGTGAGTACATTTTCAGCAATTTTTGGGTAAAGAATTTCTTTAAACAACCATTTGTGGACATGTATTTTTAGACTCCATCACTGACATATACAGGATGAAAACTCCACACTGGAACATTGCCAGGCTATTGCAGATACTTGATATATGAAACAATAGACACCTGTGATGAAAACCATGGCTTTTGATTAAAGACCTATGGCAGCATACTTGTAGGTGTGAGTCAATGTCAAGAACAGCTTCAGTACCGGTTCACACTGCTGAAGGGCTTTGTACCTACACAATAGACTTTTGTATGGAGCTGCCAAACTAAAGGAATCTTTCTCTTACAGACACTGACATATGGACATTCCCACTAAAATAATATAAAATGTAATCATCAAATTACTACACACAAAGAGCTATCTGTCAGGTATTTTAGAGTATCCAGGACACCCCAAAATCCATGACACTATCATTATGCCAAGAGCTTGTAACACTCCAAAGAGAAAGGAAAAAATGAAATCGCATCATATGACCCCTTTAAGATAGTTATGACAGTATTGGATTAATATGTATACATCTATTCCATCATGAAGCAATCCTGTACAGTGTTTACATGCTTTTGTAATGGAAGCAGAATTAGAAATGATACACATAGACTACCCCATCAATAGAGAAGGAACTTCTTTACAAATTCAACATTTAGAATTACACTACAGTGACCCTAAAATTGTATTTGGACACTTTGGAGTGTTGTTGCATTAGATACAAAATAAAAAAAATTAAAATAATACAACTTTTCTCAGAACTATCTTCTTAGTTCCTAGTTTTAGCTAAAAGTCAGTTTGCCTCAGGTTAATAAAGGCATCTTAAAAGAGTGCATATATCCACTGATGTACTACAAATTTTGACAACCAGAAAGTGTATAAATACTCTTTTCAAAATGTATTATAAACTACATATATTTTGGTTTATTATTTGAGACCCAACAGACATTTTTATTATTATTATTTAATGTTTTGCTTGAAAAATGTGCATGTGCTCTCTGAACATTTGAGTTTGTATTCTGCTCAGGTAGCCATTACTAACAAATTATATGCACTTTAATACGTTGCTAAAAACATAAAAGTAAAAACTGGAGAAAGAAAAAAAAAACATTGGCAACAGTACTCTGGTCTGTTATAGGGTGAATTAAGGTAATCTGGGACTTTTCCCCACTTTTAACTTCTGCAATTAACTGTGATGTCCCCCCAACATTTTATGCAAACAAATGACATCTATCTGAAATTGTCAAAATTCACATACATAATAATAATAATTTATTTTTCATAAATTCATCAAATTAATATTTGATAAATATTTGGAACATTATTTTCTTTTCTTTTTTTTTTATTTGCCCTTAACAATAATCTTTAAAATATCGTGTATCTGACCATTGGTTTCTTTTACAGGGGGTCCTATTATTCAAGTTAGAGACATTAGATAGCCTAATGTCATCTCAGTTACATCAAAACCCAGCTAGAATATAGTAATGTTGCCATTGATTTGCTTGTGATGTAGGAAGAAAAGTACACATCATATGTCTTACATTAATCAGTGCGGAAAAAAGGACTTTTGAGGATGTGCAATTAATTAAATTGGCAGTAGATGGCGTAAAAGCTCTACTTCAGAGGCAGCTTCTTCGGTGTTATGAGAGTTTTATTCAGTAAATCATGATGTCTTTCTAAAAAAAAAGGTGGTTTTTATTTATTTTATTTTATTTTATTTTATTATAAACAACGGAATTTTATTATTATTATTATTATATATATATATTTTTTTTAATTTTTTTTAATTTTTTTTATTATTATTAAATAATTTGTCATCTTTGTAACACATTTATTTATTGTGGAGCAGTAAAGCGTGGGTTTGTGTCATTGATCTAATGGCAGAACTCCTCCCTGTTTTTAGGTTCCTCCCCACTGACTTACAGCAAGCCTTTCAAATATCCATTCATCACCGGCAATCCAACACACGGGTCTTCTTTCTGTCTGTAGAAATCATAAGCAACTGCTTTCACCAAACCTAGGACCTTTTGACGTCATCAGAGACACTTTACATATTAATGGCTTAATTGACTATTGATTGACATATGGAAGTGCATAGGTTACATAAAGAGTAGCCTAATTGCATTTTTGTCTGCGACGAAAACAAAAGACTTCACCGTAACTTATTAAAAATTTGCAACTCTTCTTGTCGGATCAATTTGCATAATGGAATTATTGTTGTTTATTTTTTGCTGTGGCGCATTTTGTTTGACACGAGCCAATCTGATGGAGCAACAGACTGCTGACAATATAGACAACCGTTCAACTCTAGAAGATGAAATGGACAATCAAGAAAACATCTTAACACAGGTAATTTTTCTTGATTAAAAATTAAATGATGATTACATGAACATATGATAGTCAGTGTGAGAGTGTATTTTGCATTATTATTATTATTATTATTATTATTATTGAAATTTCTATGTAAATACTAAATTATATAAGGTGATTTCTGACCAAAAAAATCATTAAAAATATATAGTAGTAATAATAATAATAATAATGTGTTTGATATTTATTTACATTTCTATGTAATAGGCTATATAAGTTATTTAAGGTGGGTTTTGACCAAAAAAGGCGTAAAATATGTATGTAAATCTAATAATATCTATAAGCCACTATTTTAAACTTTAATTAGGGTTGATATATATATTAATGATTTCATTATTCACTGTCATTATTTCCTCTAATAGCTCATTGGGGACTATGATAAAGTTAAGACTCTGTCTGAGGGCTCAGACTGTCAGTGTAAGTGTGTAGTAAGGCCTCTGAGCAGGAGTGCATGCAAGCGCATTGAAGAGGGCCATGCCAAGGCTGAGGATTTCTACACAGTGGAGACAGTCACTGCAGGACCCAGCTGTAAGAAGTGTGCCTGCATCGCCCCTCCCTCTGCCCTAAATCCCTGTGAGGGAGACTTCAGGTTTAAGAAGCTGCAAGAGGCGGGACGGGATGATGTAAAGGTAAAGAGTTTTGAAGTCAGGGCTCATGGGGAGACAGAGACAAGATTCATGCACTGGTGTTGATAGAAGATTCTTAATAATTCTGGATAAGTTATAAAACCATACTTGTACTATTTAATTTGCTGACTTGTTTTAGACTTAAATAAATTAGTCAATATTATAAATAACTTCTACTAAGCCACTCTGTTAGCTCAGTCTATTAACTCAGGTAACTCAGTCACTTTCTATAAATTTTGTAAATTAAAAAAAATGTATTTATATCTTGATGTTTCAGCTCTCAACCATAATGGACCTGCTAGAAGGAGCATTTTATGGGATGGACTTGTTAAAGCTTCACTCCATCACAACAAAGCTTCTGGAACGGGTTGATAATATAGAGAATGTGAGTGCAATATTGATACTTGTTCTCAGAAATAATAGCATATATAAACATTTGTGAACTATAAACAGTTGTTCTGAGAGAAGTTATGTCTTATATTATTTAATGCTTATAAGAATATATGGTACATTACATGTATAAATATACACAGACACACACACACATATATATATATATATATATATATATATACACACTCTTAAAAATAAAGGCTCTTTATTGCCATCCATGGTTCCATTATCCATGGAATATATTGCATTAAAGGTTGTTTTTTTTTTTAAGAAAAATGTTCTTTACACTAAGAAAAAAATGGTTCTTTTAGGAATTGTTCACAAAAAGTTATTTAAGAAACCCAAAATGGTTCTTCTAGATAATCACTGCAATCAATCAATCAATCAATCTCTTTTGGAACCTTATTTTTTTTATTTTATTTTTTTTGTAAGAGTGTATACACCCACAATTTTTGACACAATATAATTTGGTATAATTTAGAGCCTCCTTTTCCACAATAGCACCATCACAGGAAGACCAATGCAGTCATGGTATATAAAAATAAATAAATAAAAAAACATGGTTTCACATTATTAATTTTTGATTATGCTGTTCCCTGAAACAACCACATTGCTTTCTATACACTATTCAGTATTACCATGGCAACAGAAATCGCTGTCTGCTTTCAAATGTTGCCACTGGACAAAGGGAAATTGAGTTCAGGTGGTTGGGGCAATTATTTGATCAAAAATTTTGGAAAAAAATATACTAATCCAAAAAATACTAGTCTTCGGTGTCACATCTTTCATAAATCATTGCTGATTTGGTGCTCAAGAGACATTTCTTATTATTTTAAATGTTGAAAAATGTTGTGCTGCTTAATATTTTTGTGGAAACCTGATTTTTTTTTTTTTTTCAGAATTCTTTGATGAATACAAAGTAGCATTTATTTTAAATAGGAATCTTTGGCTGAATAAAAATATGAATTTAAATAATATAAATTACTCTGACTTAGTCAGCACCATTTTCAGATTATAGGTGAAACTGTAAAAACAAGAGTAGGCTGAAGTTCAACTAAGCATTTTGTGTTTGTTCTCTTAAAAGCCACAGCAGCACATGATGTTGTGAGTGGCGATGGCTCGGTGGATTTAATAACTGAAGACCAGCTCCATAAGCAAGAGCCGCCTGCATCTGTTACAAGACCTGCAACCGCTGCGACAGTGACCCAGACGCCGTCAACAAACCTCAACACACAGAATGAAGACCCTACTGCTGCAAACATGCCAAATGTAACAAGGCAAACTGAAGAAGAGACTGTAAAAGCCGAGAAGTCAAGCACAATTACAACAACAAGGGCAATCCTGCCAACCTCATTGCCTTTAACTGCCGTAATGTCACCAAGCACCAATGCAGCAGCCACCGCAACTCCTCTTGCAGTGCCACAGCTGGCCAGTGTTACAGCACCTGCAATGAAATCCAAACTTAACTGGGATGAAGCTACAACTCAAACAAGCACACAACCTCCAAAGAAGAACAAAGAACAAGGTAAGCTTGATTCCACATTTTGAAGAAAATAAACTTAAAAGAGTTTAGAGGGGCCGTGATATATAGATGCTTCCCCTCTGGTTTTGTTGTTTACAGGGATCTGCAAGGACACATTAGCAAGCATTGCTGATCCTGTTACACACAACACATATGGAAAAAATGAAGGTGCATGGATGAAAGACCCAAAGGGCAATGGAAAAGTTATATATGTGGCTGACTACTACTGTGGAAACCAGCTTCTGGAATTCCGTGATATAGACACCTTTAAACAAGGTACATGTATCTTTAAAATAGATACTGATTTTATTTTATTTTTTAAGAGGATATTTTTTCAGCAACCTTTATATTATTACAGTTTGATTCAGTTTTTTAAAGACTGGTTGGAAACCATGACTGTACTAAATAATAACAAATATGCATATACAGTGCCATTCAAAAGCTCCGGGTTAGTACTTTTTTTTTTTTTTTAAGAAAACAATACGTTTATTCAGCACGGACAGCGGAACTGCCACCCAAGGACCTCTATTGTGTTTACATTCTCCTTATAGTCGTTTTCCGGAAACCTGACAAAAGAGAAAGTGAGCGTGAAAGGTGAAAAAAAGGAAGGGAAGGGGCCTCGCTCCAACCAACGGCAAGAGAAGAAGAAACATCTCAGCATGCTGGAGCCCTCACTGCAGAAGAATGCGGCAGCTGCTTTTGCTCACACTGAGGTACAGATACAGCACACACTAGCTCAATCCATTAGAAATGCCTTAATAGGCTCATATTAGTCTCACTTCACACAGATGACAACTGCCAACATATATGCACAAAGACACGCTGCAAATGTCATCTACATTACCACCAGTACCAAACTTTGCCCAGTGGAAACAGTGGTCGAATTTACTGTTCCAGTTAGTCTGGAAGACATGTCAGACGAGAAATAGTCAATCAAGGCCATGCAACTTTCCCACAACATGCTCAAGTCATTAATACACCACAAATTCCCCTTCATCTCATTCAGGACATTTATGCAGCCACAAAGTGGGCGACTCGGAAAGAGACAATTAATGTTTCTTATTTGATACAGTAATTTGAATCAGGTTAATCCCATACATTTGTAAAGATTTAACTGATAATTTCGCTGTTTATTCCTGGCCAGAGGAAATATGAGGAAAAGTTTGTTGGGAGTCAGGGCTCCAGCAAACCTGTGCTGAAGCGAAGCAACTCTGAGGGTCAGGAGGAGAAGCATAAACCTGCAAAGACCAAAGCCGGTCCCAAAGGCATGACCGTCAAAAGCATGACCTTCTACAAGGCCATCACAATGGAGGACAGCGAAGGGGAAGAGCACAGTGAGTGTCCGACAGCTCATTTTACTGTGATAATGACTAGAATTGCAGCTTTTGTGGTTGCAGCTTTGCAACATGTTCTTATATTTATGGTTAAAGTTTAGTATGAAAAATGTTGAGAAGCTAAATGCAAGTTATTATCACTCACTTATTATCATTACACAGGGACCACCCATATTATTTTTTCAGCAACCTTGGTTCCGGAAGTATTTTCCCCATTTATTTTATCCGTAGGGATTTCAAAAAACACAATACTTGATTTAAAATATAATTTGATTTAAAACAAAATGTTATATGTAAATGAGGGGGGAAAAGGTACACGACTATTACTTAACATTTACTTAAATGAACTACATTCCCATAATGCACTGTAAATGACATAATCAAATTATACAATATACAACTATTAATTTATAGCCAACAGTACATTTCAAATTTGTTGTTAAATATTTATATGTATGTATTATTGCATATAAATACATTACTGTATTTTAATATTTTTGAAAGAAGTCTCTTATATCCTCAGCAGGTCTGCAATTATTTGATCAAAAATTTTGGAAAAAAATATACTAATCCAAAAAATACTAGTCTTCGGTGTCACATCTTTCATAAATCATTGCTGATTTGGTGCTCAAGAGACATTTCTTATTATTTTAAATGTTGAAAAATGTTGTGCTGCTTAATATTTTTGTGGAAACCTGATTTTTTTTTTTTTTTCAGAATTCTTTGATGAATACAAAGTAGCATTTATTTTAAATAGGAATCTTTGGCTGAATAAAAATATGAATTTAAATAATATAAATTACTCTGACTTAGTCAGCACCATTTTCAGATTATAGGTGAAACTGTAGAAACAAGAGTAGGCTGAAGTTCAACTAAGCATTTTGTGTTTGTTCTCTTAAAAGCCACAGCAGCACATGATGTTGTGAGTGGCGATGGCTCGGTGGATTTAATAACTGAAGACCAGCTCCATAAGCAAGAGCCGCCTGCATCTGTTACAAGACCTGCAACCGCTGCGACAGTGACCCAGACGCCGTCAACAAACCTCAACACACAGAATGAAGACCCTACTGCTGCAAACATGCCAAATGTAACAAGGCAAACTGAAGAAGAGACTGTAAAAGCCGAGAAGTCAAGCACAATTACAACAAACAATACGTTTATTCAGCACGGACACATTAAATTGATCAAAAGTGACAGTAAAGACATTTATAATCTTACAAAACATTTCTATTTCAAATAAATGCTGTTCATCAAACAATGCTGAAAAAAAATGTATCACAGTTTCCAAGAAAATATGAAGCCGTTTTCAACATAGATAATAATTAGAAATGTTTCTTGAGCAAATCAGCATATTAAAATGATTTCTGAAGTATCATGTGACACTGAATTCAGCTTTGCCATCACAGAAATAAATTACATTTCAGAATATATTCAAATAGAAAACCGTTATTTTAAATTGTAAAAATGAAAGGTGAAAAAAAGGAAGGGAAGGGGCCTCGCTCCAACCAACGGCAAGAGAAGAAGAAACATCTCAGCATGCTGGAGCCCTCACTGCAGAAGAATGCGGCAGCTGCTTTTGCTCACACTGAGGTACAGATACAGCACACACTAGCTCAATCCATTAGAAATGCCTTAATAGGCTCATATTAGTCTCACTTCACACAGATGACAACTGCCAACATATATGCACAAAGACACGCTGCAAATGTCATCTACATTACCACCAGTACCAAACTTTGCCCAGTGGAAACAGTGGTCGAATTTACTGTTCCAGTTAGTCTGGAAGACATGTCAGACGAGAAATAGTCAATCAAGGCCATGCAACTTTCCCACAACATGCTCAAGTCATTAATACACCACAAATTCCCCTTCATCTCATTCAGGACATTTATGCAGCCACAAAGTGGGCGACTCGGAAAGAGACAATTAATGTTTCTTATTTGATACAGTAATTTGAATCAGGTTAATCCCATACATTTGTAAAGATTTAACTGATAATTTCGCTGTTTATTCCTGGCCAGAGGAAATATGAGGAAAAGTTTGTTGGGAGTCAGGGCTCCAGCAAACCTGTGCTGAAGCGAAGCAACTCTGAGGGTCAGGAGGAGAAGCATAAACCTGCAAAGACCAAAGCCGGTCCCAAAGGCATGACCGTCAAAAGCATGACCTTCTACAAGGCCATCACAATGGAGGACAGCGAAGGGGAAGAGCACAGTGAGTGTCCGACAGCTCATTTTACTGTGATAATGACTAGAATTGCAGCTTTTGTGGTTGCAGCTTTGCAACATGTTCTTATATTTATGGTTAAAGTTTAGTATGAAAAATGTTGAGAAGCTAAATGCAAGTTATTATCACTCACTTATTATCATTACACAGGGACCACCCATATTATTTTTTCAGCAACCTTGGTTCCGGAAGTATTTTCCCCATTTATTTTATCCGTAGGGATTTCAAAAAACACAATACTTGATTTAAAATATAATTTGATTTAAAACAAAATGTTATATGTAAATGAGGGGGGAAAAGGTACACGACTATTACTTAACATTTACTTAAATTAAATCAGCATATTAAAATGATTTCTGAAGTATCATGTGACACTGAATTCAGCTTTGCCATCACAGAAATAAATTACATTTCAGAATATATTCAAATAGAAAACCGTTATTTTAAATTGTAAAAGTGTTTCATAGTATTGCTGTTTTTAGCAATACTATTGCTGTCTTGGTGAGCATAAGAGGCTTTCAAAAACATTAAAAATTCTTACAGACCCCAAACTTTTGATCGGTTGTGTGGTTTTGTGGGGGAAAATATTATCTTATTTTGATTTTTCTCAATTAAAAATGTTTCTCATATAACAACGTACATCTTACAGATAATATCTGAATAATTTCGGTTAGCACAGTTACAATATAAAAAAACAATTGTTCAATTTTGGAGACAACATGTCATACTTATTTTTCTCACATATCATGAATGAGTCTTTATAGTTGCAAATATACAGCTGCTCATATATTTTTGAAGAAGGTCCCTTGCAGGAGCATCATGAGCAACGCCTGCAGTATATGACATTTGTTTCTCTTCTTTTTCTCACAGGGCAGTTTAGCAACTCCTACAAACTCCCCTATAACTGGATTGGCACTGGCCATGTGGTCTACGGTGGCTCTTTCTTTTACAATAGAGCCTTTTCTCGTGATATAATCAGGTTTGATCTTCGTCTCCGGTATGTAGCAGCCTGGACCACCCTTCATGACGCAGTATTAGAGGAGGAGGAGGCTCCCTGGAGTTGGGGAGGACATTCAGACTTTGACTTTGGTGTGGATGAGAGCGGGTTATGGTTAGTGTACCCAGCTCTGGACGAAGAAGGATTTCACCAGGAAGTGATCATCCTGAGCAAGCTCCGACCTTCTGACTTACAGAAAGAGAAGAACTGGAGGACGGGCCTGAGGAGGAACTACTACGGAAACTGCTTCGTCATCTGTGGCGTTCTGTACGCCGTCGACAGTTTCCAGCACACACAGGCCAATATTTCCTATGCATTCGACACGCATACACACACCCAGATGATTCCCCGCCTCCCTTTTGTAAACAACTACACCTACACCACACAAATCGACTACAATCCTAAGGAACGTATGCTATATGCATGGGACAATGGCCATCAGGTGAGCTACGATGTAACATTTGCTATTATTGCATATAAATACATTACTGTATTTTAATATTTTTGAAAGAAGTCTCTTATATCCTCAGCAGGTCTGCAATTATTTGATCAAAAATTTTGGAAAAAAATATACTAATCCAAAAAATACTAGTCTTCGGTGTCACATCTTTCATAAATCATTGCTGATTTGGTGCTCAAGAGACATTTCTTATTATTTTAAATGTTGAAAAATGTGTGCAGCGCTTTCTGTATAAAATAGTAAAATGACTATGTGTCTAAGTGGGTTGTAGATCAGTCTACATGACAAATATGTTTTATAGATATTTCATTATGCCTATAATTTTGTCTTTTTGTCTGTTTGCATGTCTTTTGTATTTGCTTTTTAGTGGATGTTTATTGATCTCAAAGGGGTTCAAATATGATTGAGCTATTCATGACAAGGTTCTCACTGCTTATATGAAGTGTAAATGTATGATGTACATAATGTAATTAAAAATAAAGCTTATAGCAAGCTCTTCTAAACCTGTGGAGTGTCATCGCTTTAGCTTCTTTTAAGGTCAACATAAAACGTCATTAGCAACCAATTTAACTTCCATAATATGGCATACTTCAAAATGAAACGAG